CCCCCCCCTCCCCCCCTTCTCCCTTTTCCTCGCGCTCCCGGCAAGAGGCCGCCGCAGGGCCACACAGGTTCATTCCCGAGATGGGTTCACTGCTTTGGCTGAGCCAGAGCAGCCCCGCCGGCGGCCAACTGGACCAGTGAGAGAGAGGGAGACAGGGAGCGAGGGGGCGAGGGAGAAAGAGAGCCATAGGGAGAGAGAGGGAGGGAGACGGGGAGAGCGAGGGAAGGGAGAACGAGAGAGAGAGAAGGATGAAAGGCGACGAGCGGACAGTAAAACGAACAGCCGGACCGTGGCAGGGCAAATCCCCACTGTATGGGGCTCACCTCACCCCCCCCCCATCACACACACATACACACACACACACACACACACACACACACACAAGGGCGCGGAGGGCGGGCAGCGCAAATCCTTGGGCTGGGCGCGATGTGTTAACTAGGTCCAGTCCAGAGCGGGCCACGCCCCGCCACGCTCCATGTCCAGTCAGGGTGCCGCCATTGGCAAAAAGAGAGGGGTGAGGAGGACAAGAGGAGAGAGAGAAAGAGAGAATGAAGCTAGGCAACGCAGACAGAGGGAGACAAAAGCGCGAGAGTTGCGGGGGGTGGGGGGAGGGGTGGTCTTTCATCCAAAGTCTCTACGGCCCTGACCATGGTTTTGTAGCGGCCAGCAGATCTCTATCATTCCGCCAAAATAACGTATGTGTTATTGTGAGCGGAACAGTGAAAAATGGCGCGACAGCCTTCCACCCACAGGCGCTAGGCCAAAATAGGTACGCCATGTCCGACTCTAATATCTGCCGCTGCCTCCATTCAGTGGCCGGTGGGCCGGTCGCGCCGCCGCGCCGTAACGACTCTGCGGCCCGGTGCCAACTCGTTGCCGCCCTCGTCACCCGGGGCCGCCGCCGGGCCGGGGAAATAGAGGGGAAGGGGGGGATGCCAGTGCCGGGGACGCATTGTGACCAGGTATGACCCTTTGTTTCCCGTCATTACAGCGCGGGAGAAGGTGGCGGGGTGGCCAGGGTGGCAGCGAGGAGTTATGGAGACAACCTAGCAGCCGTCATCCTAACCACTTTCATAATGTTCGTCATCCCCATCGTCGCCGTTATTGTACAACGAGAATGCGCTCTTTCTTTATAACAGGCGCACAGTGTCGCAATATAAATATTGTAAACAGTAGCTCAGTAGCTTTAGGTGTGACAGACGACGTCTAACGTAACAGGCTTTGCGATACCTCACGAAGGGCTGATCCGCTGCGAGGCGCCTGACGCACATACGGCTACACAACCCTGTGCTCGTTTCACAACGACGTACTCTTTGTATCATTCGTTAAAAAAAAATGTCAAAGTTATCTCACCATGGCCTCACTGACAAAGATCTCAGCTCACCTTCAAAACAGTACAATCCCACTCCCAGCTGATGGCTCGTGCTCCTGCGGCTCCATGGCCCATGGGCTCTTCCAGAATACCTGAAAGAGAAAAATTCAATTAATTTGATAAAGAGGGCCCAACGAGCAAATATAACTCCTGATTTCTTATTGTTTGCGGGACAGCCCACCAATGGAAGAGGGTGGGGCGAATAAGCTCCCTGGTTTGGATACATACATCAGACTCATGCCGCGCAAAAAGGGCGATTCGTTCAAGGTCACGTCCGAGTTCAAGGCCAAGCAGGGAAAAGTCACAAACTGTCGAAAAGAGCCCAAACGTGACCCAATCGAACCGAAAGAATAAAACTAAACGAGCGAAACTTAATTTATACTTTTCCTCGAGGCACAACTTTTCGCCTCGAGACACGAAAATAAGAGTCAGCAGCAGTCCGACAAACACGTGTGGGACAAGGGCGGGATGGGAGTTGGTCTCTGCCGCCGGTTCACCTGTTTGGCGCTGTTTCTGCCCGTACCTCGCTCCGCCGCCGCCGGGCCGGGCTGGTGACGGGACGTCTAAAAGAGACGCGCGCGCTCAGGCCTCGCCGCGCCACGCTCTGCGCCATGCCGGGCCAATTTCGAGCCCCCCTTTGTACGGATGACGTCCTTTGTGGAGGGGCCGCCGGGCCCGCGCCGGGCCCAACACGGCCGCCTTGTTTGCTGCAGCCCGGTTGGCGCCAGCGGAGGGGCACCCCGCCGGCTACCGCAGCCTCCCCGCCTGCTGCTCCTTAGGACCAAATACCTGTCGCGGGGCGCCGGGCCGTCAACAAGGGAGCTATAGCCCCGAGGACCCGAGGATCTGTCTGAACCTCTTCGTCCTTTGGCCAGGCGGTACGACGGGTAGGTTGTTGGTGTCCGGCCCGCGGGGGTGATGTGTCGACGCTGCAAGGACGTGTGAGCGCGTGGCGCGGCGGGGCTGCGGGCGGGGCTGCGGGCGGGGCGCAGGTCGAGGTCCCCGTCATTAATCAACACGGCCACTTTATACTTTCTCCGGGCGGCCGCGCCTCCCGCGCCTCACCCAGGCGCCGCCGCCGCCGCGCAGCGCAGCGACCCGCCGATGAGCGGCCGGAAAAAACTTGACAGCCATGGGTGTTGAGAAACGGCTATCAGCGTGTCCCGCCTGCCCCCCTCCCCTTCCCCTTTCCCCCTCCGTCACCTGGGCCATCATCGCGTCGGGGAGTCCGGTGCTGCAGGTAGAGTTTTTGTGATGTGTACGATCGACTGGACTGGACTTGAATCTCTTGGGAGGCTGCTCTGCTGCAGCCGTCCGGTAGGCGCCGCCGCGCGCTTGGTCAGCAGCGCAATAAGCATGTCCTGCGGTTAGCCGAGATATTATTGTTCCCATACATGGGCGGCAGCGCGCCGCAAAGCGAGCACACACCACCTTAGCCTTTTGTGTGAAGTAATAAAGTGACACAGGCAAGTAATTTGTGAACTGAGA